ACAGTGACTGTAAAAAAGAGGGAGGGAAGTGTTAACCCCTTTTTGGAGCTTTTGATTTTATAAAGGGTCAAGGGAGGGTTTGGCTTTAGCATGCAAGTGGGTTTTAATAAAGGGGAAGGAGCGTCAGGGAGAGCGGAGGGGAGAGTTTAAGTGAGTCAAGAAATGCAGGACGCCAAGAAGAAAAATGAAGATACAAACAAGAAGAAGGAGCGCCACATAGTTAGCTGGACTCAAGAGGTCCCATTTTTCTTGTTTATTCTTCTGTTTTCTATTTATTCATTTGAATCCTTGCTCTTTCTCTTAATGGGTTTTTTCTGGGTTGCAGGAAGATGATATACTTCGAGAGCAAATTAGTTTACATGGAACTGAAAAGTCGGTTGTTCTTCCTTTTTAATTTTTGCGTTCCTTTTTCTTATAATCCTAACAAGTGTTTGTTGATGGCAATTGATGAGGGGTTTTTGGTGGAATCTTTATCTTTTTGTGCAGTTGGACCATCATTGCGTCTAAATTCAAGGATAAAACAACAAGGCAGTGCAGAAGGAGGTTAGTTTAAACGAAGATGAAAGTCTGAGATTACGTTTGAATGTTTGTTCTTTCATCCTCTGTTTCATCCATTTTGATCCGTAACCTAACGCATCCGGTATGATGATGACATAGATGGTATACATATTTGAATTCCGACTTCAAGAAAGGGGGATGGTCACCAGAGGAAGATATGCTCTTATGTGAGGTAATCTGTGCTCTGTTTTCCACCAGGGGAGCAGACTATTTCAATAAAATCCATGAAGTGTCCACAAAATTGATTCCTGGTCCTCAAATGTCAATCTGAGCTGATGATTTAAGGTTATCTGCAGGCTCAAAAAATATTTGGTAATAGATGGACTGAAATAGCAAAGGTGGTTTCAGGCAGGTATGTAAACCTTCATTTTCTCGCCCTTATTGCAAAAGTGCTGTCATTTTTAAGTAATAACTACTTTTGCAATACATGATCAATTTTTTCTGTTTATGCTACTAATGCAGGACTGACAATGCTGTGAAAAATCGGTTCTCCACACTATGCAAGAAGAGAGCAAAGTATGAAGCATTAGCAAAAGAGAACAGTAGTTCATTCATAAACCTGAATAACAAAAGAATTTTGGTCCAGAATGGGTTCAATACAGATGGAACAAGAGAACATATAGCATCTGCCAAGAGACTGAGGTACTGTAGATATTCATATGAGTAGAGTGAGAATTAAGTATTACAACACTTTGTAAATTGAAACACTTTCTTGTTTCAATTCAGGAGGACCCATACCTCTGATCTTGCACAAAATTGCAACTTTGGGGATAGATCACATATGGCATCTGGAATGGTAATCACTCAGCAGTTAAGGCCACCATTTGCTGTGTTGGGTCAAAACCTCCATACTGTTAACTTGGCAGTGCAACATCATGTCAACAATGTCAAGGAGGTCTCTAATGATGGTAAAAAAATTTTTGGAATTAACTTTTGATAAAGTTGCTCTCATCATCTCATGATACCTGAAAAGCAAAGCACACATTGAGAAGTTTAACGAGAATTTGGAATCACTTCACATTCGGGCAAAACTATGATTATCTTTTTCTCTTTCTTTTCTCATTTTGAGCAATCTAGTTTTTCTTGATTATTAGCAATCTAGAAAACCACATCAAAATGTAATGCTATCTTGCTTTTCGATTCCTTAGCAACTCAGAACAATAAGGCTCAAGGAACTTTTCTCAAAAAGGATGATCCAAAGATAAGTGCTTGGATGCGGCAAACAGAGCTGCTCAGCTCACTTGCAACAAAAATTAATACCGATAACGGAGATCAGAGTCTGGAAAATGCCTGGAAGGTGAGAAGAAACTGTCTTCTATCTGTATAGAAAAATAAAAATTGTCTTTCCTTTATGTTTGTGATTTGGAATGTGCTCTAGTGGATAAAGTGCTATGGCTTAAGTAGATTGAGAAATCATGCAACTTAGATTATTTCATTGACAATAGATATAATCCTTTTCTTGACTGCATTGTCTTAAAGGCCTCTTTAATTCTTTTAGCCAAACTACCAGCATATGCTAAAATGCTCCTTTTGATCCTTATGTTCCTGAGAACTAGAGCTGCCAAGCTCCTCTTCAACTTAGAAGTATCATAATCATGTGGGCAAATTTCATATGTCCCTGACATTTTTCTTATCACTGTGTGATATCCAGATTCTTCAAGATATTTTGAACCAAAGCAAAGAAAAGGACATCAGATATAGAGCATCTGATTTTGATTTTCAGCTTGATGATTTCAAAGATTTGTTGGAGGACTTGAGGAGTAGTAATGAGGGAAGTCATCCATCTTGGAGGTAATAAGAGTCAGGTCATCTATTCTTGAGATTCAATCAGGTTGCACTTACCATAAAATGTCTAAATGATAGTTAACATGTAGGCAACCCGATCTTTATGAGGCATCTCCAGCCAGCTCAGAATACAGCACAGGATCAACCCTAATGCCTCATCCAGCCAGTGATAAGACAGAACAAAGTCAAACTGAGGTGGTTGCACTGCATCAGGATATTGGAATTCAATTAGTTACAGTTCATACTGGTGTGCAAAATTGCATGAGTGAACAAGAGAAAGGGATTTTTTCTGATGCAATTACAAATCAAGGTAATGTATTTTTAGATTCACCATAAAGGCCTAAAATATGCTACTTCTTACCATAATCTGATAAAACAAAACAATATTGCTTTTCTGATGAAATGTCTTCACCTTTCATAGTCGAGATGTTCCCATCTTCTGATGGTCAGACAAACAATGATGGAGTTGTTTCAGTTTCATCTAGTAC